ATCGGCGCTCGGCGAGCATTCATAGGCTTAACGGGGCTTATTTCCCTCTCTCCCTCTTCTGTCCACTTACTACTCCCTCTCTTTCCAACCCCTGCAAGCTGTCCATCTCTGTCTGGCAACGCTGAATTAGTAGTCAGCTTTATCATAGCCAGAGTGCATCAATTTGAATGACATCGGCGATGAAGTCAGCTTTTGGACGGTCGAAGCTCCCGTGTCATGGATAAAGAGGATTTATAACTTCTCTGTGATCCGTCGAAAATTGTGATGGATGTCCCGATGGTACAGATCACCGACGTACTTCCCTTTCTTTGTCCCTCCATGTTCCGCAGCATGGTTTCATTTTTTGGAATCGACGATGGTAAGCACCGGGTACTTTGTCTGCTACGGTGAATTGCATCTGCTTCGTCGTATTGCGTTACACCGTCGATAAAACGGGTTCCATGTTAGCGAATTGGAAAAATGAGATTCCGTAGTAACCACGATAAATCGAACATCATAAAGATCTGAAAAGGTACGTGACGGTGTAGTACAGAAATTACGTATGTACATATTATTCGTATATGTATTCAGGATTGAATTATGTGAGTTATTTCCTGGACAATATACAGCTGGACTATCGTGATCATCTGACGTGACATCCGGACATTTCTTCCTGTTAGATCATCTGAAATTTGTGATTTATTAACTATTTACGAATAATTCGAGCTTTAACTTCTACGTCTGATGAGTTTTACATTTTGATCGCTAATGGCGGAATAATTACAACCGGAATTCGTTTTTCGCCGTCCTGTAGATCTAAAAGCTACCATTTGCGATTCCATCGACTAGAGATAAACGGAAGAGAGGTCATAAACCGTTTCAAACGACGTACTGCAGTGGACAAAAGGCGTTATGCAATTTCACACACAACTGTCTATGCCAATACGTTCACATGCGCAGAAATCATACACTCGATGCTGATTTCTCTGTACACACGTGTTATCCGGTAGCTGGACACTTTAGATAACGACGCGCGAGAGATGTACGGAAACATTGATATCTGAATCGTTCCAAATACCGTTCACCAAAATTTTACTGGATGTTACAATGTTTTCACGATTCGCATTGGCGCTTATTTAAGATTAATTGAAATATTTGAAGGAATGGAAACAATAATAAGAATTTTATGACACTTTGGAATCTCTAAATTTGGCCATTGTCGTGAAATGAAAAAGCCATTATTTAAACGAGAGAATCAAACGGAGTTAAAATAGAACGATTCGCGATGTCGATGCTTACGAAAAGCCTGGACGAATTAAGAAAATTTCGAACATAAACGGAAAAATGAGGAGTCGAGTAGACTGAAAGAGCTTGAAAATCGCGAAAATTAAAAGTCCACGATAAAAGGTTCGCCGGCATTTTCGAATGTAGAACAGTAAAACGAAACGCACCGTCGTAAAATATTTTTATCGGTAGTCTAGCTACGCGACCATTTTCATCAGCGCGACGTTTTCAACGGATACGTCCAGAGATTAGAGAGAATCGACTTTTTTATCGTAGGATCTATTGTTAGCGTAAAAATGTACAATGATTCGTACCAACTGTAGAATTGATTTTACGGCTGCCGTTTGTATTTCAACGTAGTTTTATTCTTTTTTCTTTATTGCCTCGGATAACACCAGATAGGCCAGAAATGTAACGGGCCCTTAGCCGAGACGTCACGAAGATACACTTGGAAAAGAAAACGGTGATAACAATAGATGAGGACTCATTTCCGCAACGCTGCCCATTATAACGAGATCATACACAGGGTGTCTGATTTTAATTTCGTATTGCGTGTTGATGAATTTAAAATCGTAGAAGATCCTTTATAGTTTCACAAAGGAAATTAACAGGCTTGAAGAACTATTAAAACTTGTCACTCTTCATTGATAATTTCCAGATTATTAAATAAAATCGATTCTAATCCTTTGGATTTCGTTCCACGACTTATAAAAGAGGTTAATCCGCTTGAAGAATTACGGTCCAACAAATTTCAACTTTTTCTTTAATCTGTAATATCCATTAGATGATGCTTGTAGAGTTTACTTTTTTGAAGACGAATCCTTATTCGAAATTGCTCTATCAGCCTCAGTTTGCAAAAAATTTAAGTTTTTCTAAAAAAGCACAGTTTGTTTGCTAAAATAAAGTATTACATAAAGAATAAGAATGTTAGAAGGCCCCACTTTTTGTTACGATTTTCATATGAAGATAATTGTGTTATAAGTTGTATCACTTACCTTATTTCCTGAAAGAGATTCATAAAAAAGAGATTCAAGAGTAAATTGTATGAAAATTGAAACATGATTGTTGTTTCAATCAAAATGATAGAGTTTTCTGTATCCACTGACAAAGATATCTGAGAGTTTTTCAAAACGCGACGAAGTGTACCATTCAATATTCATGCTTGGGTAGAGAAACTCCTGACTACGCGATTCCTGCGAGCTTTTTCGACCCTATAGATGCCTCTCTCTTCCTCTCTTTTTTCTCCCGTTTCGCGTATACGAAATACGTTCACGGATCATCGGTTCAATTTTTCACGGAAATATTACCCCGTAACCTTACATCGTTGTCGCTTCAAAATTCTTCTCTTAACTTTTTCAAGGTTCGCGTTTTTCTTTTTAAAATTACAGTCTCAAACATCGCACAATTGCAAAGATAAAAGCAACGAAGAAAAATATATAATAAATTATTATTGTATCTATTTCATGATAAATATTGTATGATATTTCATGATAAACCTGAGTTCCTCAAAAAAATTCTTAATCATTCAAAAACCAACCATTAAAATAAATATAAACATCTCAGATTTCCTATTTAAATGACTTTGCATCTTAAATAGAATATTGAGCTAAATTATACCTATTTCAATGTAGAACTTTATAACATTATTAATAACAATTATAAGAGAACACGTATTCTTACAATCCAGACTCTACAAAGGCTCTAAAGATTTGTTCAATAGAAATTGCTAGCATGTTCTATAAAGAGAGCTTTCACGAGACCTCTACACTTGATGCTGGTAAAAAAGAAGAAACATACAGACGATGGTTTAAAATTGAACGATTCACGTTGCCCCCGTCCCGGAACTTGTACAGGAAGAAGCGGAAGGGTACAAGAGGTAAGCGCAATTTTAGATTCGTTCGTGCGTTAAAAGATATAGCGACGTACTGAGTAAAGGCACAATACTCGCAGGAATCTAACCGACGATAATACTTAGCCACTCACCCCCGTTTCACTCTCGCCCCTCTCGCCAGTAGTCTTGGCTCGATTCCTTTGGGTCTCGATATCCGTTGATATCGGGATTCGTCTCGGGAATAACCAAGAAATTCCACATTGAAACTTCCACTGGTGTTCATGATACTTGGAAATTATTTTAGTTCACTTCGGGGAACTGTGTCGGATGTTGTTGATTTTGGTTAGACGTTATCCTGAAATGTGTTAAGTATAAATAATTATCAGTTTTCGAATCGATATTCTAGGTTATAATCAATGCAATAGTAAAAATAATACAGAAATATTGCTTTACTATAGAAACATTATTAATTTTAGAAGATTCAGAATAATCTTATCAAAATGAAGTTATTATAAAAGCTATTATTTTTTCTTATATTGCATTGAAATTATGTAAATGGATATTGAAATTGATATATATCTATTCAATTGTTTTTGTCATTTATATAAGAAATTTACATAATAAAGTGTATTAAACCTTAATGAAATTTATATTATACAGAAGAAAGATTGCATAATTGAATATAATAAAAAGAAAATTGATAACACATATTGTAGAAACTACATTACCTTGCGTGGAAATAATGAAAGTTAGAAGTAGTTTTCCATGCATTTGGCAAGGCAAAAAGAATCGACATATACGGAATAGTGTTTCAGGAAGTTGCTTCCTTATCAATGAAATAAATCGTTTGCGTGGGACGTTTCTCCTCCTGGGCCATTATCTCTTCTTCCCTCTCTAACCGGCTGTCGATATTCCTAAAACATTAATGATTATTGGACCGCTGTAAAATGGCTTTCGATTTTAATTCATCTACTTGAATACATTTGATGGACGTTTAATTAAATCTGTAGAGAAAGAAATCGATGATATGTATAGTAACATCATGTTGCGGAAAATTAACGTTTGAAACCACGAAAGTTATACAAAGAAATTATTCGTACGAATTCGATATAATTTTTATATTTAAAATTTCTATTTTTTCTTATTGACTTATGTAAAACCAAGTATTCACTAGATAATTCTGTTAAAACAGTCGTTACGTTTGAAATATAGGAGCTTAATCGTTTCTTTTTTAATCTTGTGATATTCTTTAACATATGGCTACAAAAATGAAACTATGCGCATCCTAATTGAAAATAGACGATTCCATTTCTAATAGTCGTGACCATAGTAATAGAAGTCACGAGAGACATTCTATTTTCAAGTTTTCAAGAAAAATATATAAACTATATCCATAATTCATACCTTGTATGTAAGAACTAGGTTCTTATACTTACCAAGAAACCTTTCCGCAGTTCTTAGTTTAGAATTTCTTCCAAAAATATTAATTTTAAAACTCCGAACGCGCCGCATATACATACTGATTTCCCGCCTGAATAAAACATGGGAGACACCTAGCGGAAGAAGAAAAAGCTTGGTAAAGAAATACCTGATTGGTTGAATTTGAATGACAGTAAAAAGCGGTTGTTACGTGCTCAACGTATAATATCAACGGCTTCGTGGCGCGATACTGCGTGCGTTCGTCGAAGTAGTTTTTATAGAATATTGGTGAAAATTCGTGAGAGAAATGCGTTACACGCATAGTGTTATCGAATTTATAATTAAAGTTCGATTGAATTGATAGTCAGAACAATATTAGTGGTGTAAAATCGAAATAATTAATAAAAAGTTGCAAACCTGTTGCGTGATTTGTATACATGACAAAATACTTTAATTTTATTTCAACGAGTTCTACGCCGATTTGAAGATGACCACACCGTTATCGTTGTTAGCGAGCCACGATGAAGTGGTTCGATGTACAAATGTACTCATAAATGGAGCCTGTGAAGAAGGTTTGAATTTTATACATTTATGCTTTACAGTGCCTTACTAGTTAATCTATGCCCTTGTTAATTCTACAAAACTATATATTAAAACAATATACATACAACTATTTTTACTTTTATAGATATATTATTTTTAATTCACTCAATATTTCTTATATTATTTTTGCTTGTACTATAATTTAATAATGAAATTGTACATACAAATACATAGTATAAAGCAAATATAATTGTTCTTTTATATCTCTAATCTACTTTTAAGTTAATTTTATGTATCATATAGCATCATTAAATATATATACGTAATACAGTTTATATATATGGCTCCAAGTTAAAAATGTTTTATCTTTGTATAGAATTTTTAAAATTTGCTATAAATCAAGAAGAAATGAGACAAAAATGGTTAGCCTCTATACAGGAATGTCAACGGCTTCACTCAGCTTTAGAAAAAGCTCATCAAGAGGCAACTGATTTAGACAGAAAGTTAAGTCATGCTAGAAGACTTCTAGATGAAGAGAAACGAAAAAGACGTGCTGTTGAAGAACAAAGAAATTCATTGGTAAATATTATTTTCACATCATTTTTAAGTCTTTAACTGTATATTTTTGTTAATTGTGTATTTGTAGGAAAAACAAATTGCTATGGCTAGAGATCTTTTATTTAATGATGGTGGAAGGAATTTAAATGATGAAACCCGTGAAAAATTACAATTTTTAAATAATACGACATTAAATGGTCGTCATAGTAATATACATATTAAAGATGTACATCAAAATGATAAGTGAGTTGCTTATTGTGTAAAAAGGTACATGATTAATATTTGATAAAATATTAATGAATTATTATTTTTAGATTAAATACTATAGCGGAGCTGGACTCCACTGGTTCTATTTTAAGCGATTTAAGTTGCTTTTCAAAGTCAGAAGATGATTTAGATATTAGTGCAATCATTCAACAAACTCAGAAAAAACGTGAATGGAAAGAGCACAGACCTAGTGGTGAATATGCCACAAAAAAGAGACGTAGTACAGTACAAAAGGTTGCAGAATTAAATTCATCTGATAGAATAGTAGCCACTACTACAGTAGTAATGCCAAAAGATGGCAATATCACTGCATCTTCTGTAATTGAAGCTATACCTGGAGATGAGAATGTAGACCCACAGGGTCCTTTACATAGTTCACGCAAAAGACGTAAAAGTGGTGATCGTAGTAAATCAAAATTAACTCCTATTGATACAAATGAAATACAAGCTGATACTGCTGTAAGTTATAGTATTTTAATATATTTTTTATACTACTACTATATATAGTAGTTTTGATATTAAAATTATATTATAGCCTTCTGCACCAAAAATAGAAGCTCTTACATCAGGATCAGATTCTGAAGGTGTTTTTAAACCCAGTCCAAATATAGGTGGATACACCTTGAACACAAAATCTGCTAGAGGACATAGTTTTATAGCAAAGACAATAATTAAACCAGAAGTCTGTACACCCTGTGATAAGAGGTAAAATAGACAGATTTTGTTGTGTTTACTTAAGTATTATAGATATATATGTAAGTATCATTTTAGGATTCGTTTTGGAAAAGTAGCTCTGAAATGTAAAGACTGTAGAGCTACAGCTCATACAGAATGTAAAGACTTAGTACCATTACCATGCGTACCTACTGGAAATACTCCTACACTGCGTGGTACATCAGTAAGTATATTAAACATACGAAATTTTATTTAAAATAAAAAATCACCATAAATTGTTCTTAGGGAACAATAGCAGATTATACACCTATGATCCCACCAATGGTACCATCATTAGTTGTTCATTGTATCAATGAAGTAGAATTAAGAGGAATGAGTGAACAAGGATTGTATAGAGTAAATGGTGGTTTAGCTGAAGTGAAGTGTCTTAAAGAAAAATTCCTTAAAGGAAAAGGTGCTCCAAATCTTTCTGATGTTGATATACCTACCATATGTTCTACTCTTAAAGATTTCCTTAGGTACGTTAATTAAAATATATTATTTAATACTTATGAAATTATTTAGTCCTTTTTTCTATTATTTGTAGATCATTACGGGAACCGTTAATTACTGTTGGATTATGGGCGGATTTCGTTCGTGCTACTACTATTACTGATAAACAGGATGCTGATGCCGCATTATATCAAGCAATTTCAGAATTACCTCAACCTAATAGAGATACACTTGCTTTTCTAATTTTACATTTACAAAGAGTATCAAGTAGTCCTGAATGTAAAATGCCAATAAGTAATTTGGCTAAAGTTTTTGGACCTACTTTGGTGGGTTATAGTTGCCAGAAACCAACAGCTACCTCTCTCCTTTCCGAAACAAACAATCAAGTCGCCGTAAGTACTATAGTAAAAGATTTAAAAAAATCGACTAATACTTACATTTTACTAAAATATAAAATTTGTATTTTTTATAGATAGTAGAAAATTTATTAAAAATTCCCTCAGATTATTGGGCAAATTTCGTCAACCCTGAAAATCTAAATAACATTGGTACTCATAAAACTGGAGAACTACAACATACACCATCTCAAGAATCTTTACTTAAGCGCAGTGTTTCCCGTGGCTTCTTTCATACTCCACTTACTTCTAGGTTTGTATCTTGTTATTATTCTAAACGTAAGTGGTTCTACATGTAATATTCATATTTTGGTATTTTTACAGTCGCACGTTTATGAGAAAAAATAAAAAATATTTCGGAGCATCTCCTTCTAGAGTAGGTTTCTAATACAAATAGGTATGTACTATAACTCTACTTACATCGAGGTACAAATAATTCCTAAATAATTAATTGTTTGAATAGATAACTAGTATTTTTTCAATGTGCAACATGATGTTTCTGCATTCTATTCAAAATTTTGTAATATTTTGATTAAAATATATTTTTGTATAATTTATAAAATAATATTAAGACATTAGAAGCACAATATTAGAGATTTCTAAAAATAAAATGCTAATAACATATTATGTTAAAGTAATTTTTTATGACAATTTTATACATGCGAAAAATCTCAATATGTTTCTAAATTGAGACTAAATATAATTATATAAACAAGAAAAATGAAATGGTGTACGTGTAAAATTAAATAAATGTGATATTTTTGTTAGTAATGATACTTTTAAAAATATTTAATTAAGTAAGAACACATATCATTTTACTTCAATATGACTTCATTTTCTTTTTCTCGTAAGTGTATACAAATACACATATTAGTAACAAAAATTATAAATTTATTATTATTAGTTTCGTAAAAACAACAGATACCTTATGCAAACTAAGTAAACTTGAAATATATATTACAAACATTGCTTTTCAGTTCATTTACATCATTTCTTTTTAAGCGTTAAAATATATCTTTAATTTTGTACATACTTTCGTTATTGTAATAATAATCGTATCACAAGTACATTTAAATTACATTTAAAATGATTCCTTAACCATTTAAATGAGGTACTTATTTTAATGATGGCGAAATTAAATTCCTTAAATACTATAATTTAAATGTAAGCTTATAAAATAATATTTATGTTATTCCACTTCATATTTTAGGCTGTTTTCGTACATGATTTTTCTTTTATCTCCCAACAAGATTCCCAGAATTGCTTTAACCTATTATCTCCATTTGAACAAAAATGTCTAAAATCTTGAATAAGTTTTTTCTGAAATAATTCGTCGCCGGCTAGTGTAGATGATGATTTCCATTTACGACTAAGCATATGATTCCATGACCAAAGAAATCCAATCTAGATAGAGAAAAATTAATTTCTCTGACTGTCTATTTCTCAAACAAATTACAGATACTTACTCTCTTATCCTTATAATCATCTTTATTTTTTCCACTAACGTGTCTTGTAATGTAAGCTTCGTGGGGACTGGGTTGATCAGAATGAATTGGGTATCCTTTTTGTCCTGTATTTCGCCTTACTATATTAGTAGCAGTTCGAGAACGTGATCTTGTATTCGTCATACAAGGAATCAGTATGAATGCATTGCCAGTCATATGAACATATTGATGATCGTTTTCAGTACTTTCTATTAGACACGGAACAAAGCCAAATCGTTGTACAATTGTTTCTTGAAATAAAAAGAGTCTTTGTGCGTAGGTGTCTTCTCGAAATTCTAAAATTAGTAATTGTTGATTAATTTCTTTGATGCTTCATTATAGAAATGTTTTTAATTCTTGTTAATATTAACAAACCTTCAAAAAGATGTAGTTTATTTGTCATAAGACACTCTATATTTAATGGTATAAAAATAGGTCCCCTTAATGGATCACTTTTCAAAATGAACGGTAATGCTAGTAGGTCACTAGGAATAGGAACCATTTGAATTCCGCACATTTGAGCCTTACGTTGCCACACGAATATCTTTCCAAATAAAAACTCGTACATAGTAAATATATTTCAAAATAGAATTTTGTTTTGAGAAACGGAAAACATATACTTACGAGATCAGCAACTATACTACCAGATGATGCTACCCATTGTACCACAAGTTCGTAAGAGTGATCCACTTTATATATAGATTGATATCTTAAATGTCCCCATTCAATTCTATCACTTCTATTGTTTATATCTATATCTAAATGAGTATGTTTATATGGTGAAACTAAAAATAGAAATGAATAATATGAATCAATATTGTATAATATTTCCTGAATTTTAAACAAATAGCATGGGGAGAGGGGGAGAGAGAAAGTAACAGTATCTCTTAAATATAAAGAATTACCTTGCCATTCTCTGTCATCTACTGTATCCGATATGTCTAAATCGTCTTTAAGAAACGACGCAACATTTGATTCATCTACAGCATCGCAGCTAGGTATAGTCATTGGAGACGATATTGGAGGGAACGATACAGACGAAGAAGGTTCACACCAACCTTTGGGTGCTTTTATTTCAACCTCTACCCATTCGTTTTCAAAGCTTTGTAAATCACCCAACGGTGAAAAATAGTCTCCAGCTGAAAAATAGGAAAAATTATGCAAAAAATGTATAATAAACTTATGTGCAAATATTAAGTAAATAGTTCTTCTTACCTCTTTGGTTTTCTTTATCTTGTACTATATGGTACAAATAAAATCCTAAAATAAATGGTTTAGAAAAATCTCCAGATGCATGGCATATTAACTTGTCTTGTATCATACCCTGAATAAGAATATATCATTAAAATATGATTGATAGTTTCGCTATATTATAAAAAAAATTACTCTCACATTCATAATATTGGTAGCACTCTCCACTGTTACCCCTCCTTCTATATGATTATTCAGCCATTGAACTGCATCAGCACTAACAAATGTTTGACTTGGTAGAGATGGATGTTGTGTGAGAAACCCTACACCATTTTGTGGATGTTTCAGTGCCTCCAGAATCTCATTATTTGATGCAGTGTTCTTTAACTTTGTTAATTCCATGTTCGTACTACCAACAAAGTTCAAATATTAATTCAACATTTACATAGATAACTTAACAGAATTTGATATTTATTTTACCTATCCTCATTCGAATCGAAATGGTCTTGCTGTTGTTCAAGTGAAAGAGGTAACACAGCTTCACTAGCAGGTGAGATCCGGCCCCTATCCATTACTTTAGAACCTGATCTAACAAAGACAAATAAAATCAATAATCACATAATGTCGTTATTATCACAACGATGCATGGCAAAGAAACACAGAGCAATTGGAAAATTAAGCAATGTCTAAGATTGCAATGTGAAAAGCAACAAAATTTATTTGCATATGCATAATACTGTTTGCATTTCTTTGATAAAACAAAAATACAAAATATCTTCAACCGATATGTATGTACATAAAAAAGATTAAAGTTGATATTTTAATATTTAAATGTAAAAATTTATAATCTCATAAACCTTCAGAACCGTTGCTAATGCTTCAGCATCTAATGATATTAGATGTACATACATATCTTGCCTTCAATGAGAAATATTTAAATTTAAAATTGAATTGGAAAAATTTTAAAGAGTAGAACCAACCTGTTTGGCACGTGGCGAGGAGTGTCGAGGCACGTGCGGGCAGTCGCAGCGGTATTCACTACATGCCTCTCCTGTACAGAGAACCCCGTCACTCCCTCACTCACTACCAATATTTTCTACCATACAGAGTATTTGTACAATTATAATCATATTCTTAAAAATCTTTTATAACATTTTATCATTAGATATGAAAAAAATAGTACAAATGCTTTGCATTTTATATTTGCTACATGATGAAAAGAAGGATGAAAGCAGCTGAAAAGTATAGAATGGGCAGTATGTACAAAGATTGTTTTCAAACATTTACAAATACAGTCCTTTTTTACTCTGAGCACGCCCCTTCCAGGACATATTAAATGTACCTTCATATTCATCACCAGAGTAGAAGCATATAATACTTTTAAGCAAATAACAAAATATCAGTTGAATAATTTGGAATTTCCTGACTGACCTCCTTCTTAAAGCTATATAGTAATAACTCTTGTACAAGCATACACATCAATAATTACTATTTTACCAGCTCTTCTTATAATACATGCATATATGCAACTTATAAAATGTTATGTGCAATATCATTTTTAATGTGCATATTTACTGAAAAATATATAACTTATTAAACTGAATAGGTAATGGTGCATATTTTATATTTTATACATTTCAATATATAGTCAATATAGTTTCACTATTTTACGATTTTGAAATCCTAAATAATATTAAAAGTAGTATTGCACAATTATTGTATTGAATAAAAAATCAATAACTTTGTAAAAGATAGATATATAACTCCTGCAAATATATAAAAAGAAGTCAATTTTCAATTTCTTATAGGGTTTTCTCAATCAAAAATATTCACATCGTATATATTGTAATAATTTTAAATACACGAGTGAAGGCAGATCTATTCAATAATTAAACATACGCAGCACAAAAGCAAACAAGCAAAATGAAAAACCACCAAACATCAAACTTCAATAAGCCCTTCATTTCAAGTTCAATAGGGTGCAAGCTATATCGTTACATTTGCCAAAGCAACAATGCCGAAATCATCAATCTAAGCTTGTTCAAACCTTGGTCTCGGTTTCTCTGGTAGACGATTGCTTCCGAGTCGCTCCCTGAAGGGAGAGCTGCCAACTAGACTGGTCTGAAAAGCATGATGAAGAGTATGGGTAACTGTAAATGTATGAATAAGCTCATGATCATGAAGAAGTATATCTCTGGTTTGTTTAACTGTAATGCCTTGTTAACATTGTATTCAGAGAGCATATTATTACATTGATGAAAAGAAAAGAAGATAAATAAAACGTCGGCGTTTTGCATTACACAAAAGCTTGCTAAAAATCATGTGCGCATTCAAGGCAGATATCAAGCATGGTTGCATTCATTGTGTAATACGTTGAGTAAGCTGTTTAAATGTTCTAACTAAATTCTTCATCAAAATCTATCATTACTAAAGATTCGAACTGATATATAAAGATTGAAAAAAGAACATTGAGATTTCATGGGTGTTCCTTATTGCCAAAGGAGGCAATATATACTGAAGTTGATGGATAGACATGATAATGATTTCATCGACACCTGGATCAGCGAATCGAGGCTACAGGATGCGAGGATATACCTGGTTAGTGAGGACAATCAGGCTCGTGCTGTGCCTGCGCCTGGTCAAGTGAGAGGCGGAATCTCTCTGGGAAACACCACCTAGAGTTGAAGGGTTCTGAAACATATCATGCTAAATA